CACCGTTACCATGACAGACCCAAGCACACACGTGAGGAAAGGCAGGGGCTGTCACCTGATGCCTACAATTCTCCCTTCCCAAGAAAAGCTTTGATGGCAGCGTGCATAGCACACACCCTCATAGCCCAGTACCAGTAAAAACCCAAACTCCAGGCCAAACACAGCGGCGCATGCCTGTAATCCCAGCAGCTCAGGAGACTGAGAGAGGAGGGTGTCGTGAGTTCAAAGCCAGCCTCAGCAAAAGCAAGGCACTAGCACTCAGTGAGAGCCTGTCTCCAAATAAAAACAAAATAGGGCTGGGGAGGTGGCTCAGTGGGTGAGTGCCCCTGAGTTCAATCCCCAGTATCCCCCCCCCACCGCACACACAGACACACACACACAAAATTCCAAACTCCAGACTCCTGGGGGAGAAAGTGCCTTGGGAGAATGAGTTCCTCTTCTCCGTTCATTGGTCACTGAATAAAATTTCCTGCCAGCTCCTACAACTGGATATTTGTGAACACAAAAGTATTGAGTAGGAAAAGAACCCACAAATGAGGTTACAAATTGTTAAATTATTTCCAAACAACAGTAGGGCCCCGTGGGCCTGGTAAAAGCAGCTCAGGACATGGGAGAGGCAACTGACTCACGATTTCAACCCCACAGCTCCTGACTTCCAAAACCCAGGGAGTGAAATGCTTTCTAAGGATCTCCGTTCCCAACTCCACCCACTGCCTCCTCCGACCTGCTGTTGAGAGCAGAGACTCTGACAAATCAAACCCCTCCTAATACTTCCTTCCAGGAAGGCTCCAAGGCTGCCCTGGCTGGTGGCAATGAGTCACAATGAAGAACAAAAGCATCCCTGGGGACCCCCAAACTCCTTTCTATAGGTCCACTACTGCTGCCCACTACTGTGGGTTGCCCCCAGGGCATGAGCAGAGCTAGCCCCAGGGCTTACTTCCACTGTTTAGAAAGCACTTCTACTACCCTTAGGGTTGCTCCAGCCAGATGGGTTATTCTTTCTCCATCCATCAGATGACTTACCCAAGGTCACAGTTAGCATGTCCTAGGACTAGAGTTTGGAGTTTACTAGGCTCTGCTTCCAAGTCCCACCCCTTGAAAAAGAATCAGTTAAAAGGGAAATTCCTTTACTGAGGAGATGGGCAGTTTGTTAGTCACCTGTAACACCTGAGCTCACTTACAGGCAGGAAATCTTCTTTGATTCACGGTTGTCCTTGTTATTTTCGGGCCTATAGTAAGATAGCACATCACAGTAGGGAGCTCATGATAGAGCAAGCTGCTCACTTCCCAAGAAAGCGGGACGGAGGTGGGGGGGGGGGGACCAAAAAATTCAGGGTCTCTTAAACCCCTTCAGGGCATGCCCCCAAATGACCTGAAATTTCCCACTAGGCCCCATTTCTCAAAGTTCCACCACTTCCCCAAAGCACCACAGATGGGACTGAGCCTTCAACAGCTGGGCCTTCAGAGGACACTTATCCAAGCCATAGCAGCAAGCCCTATGAGCAGAAAAGTCACAGAGGAATGATGGCAGTCCCCCAGTTCTGATAAGCAAAGAAATAAAAATAGTAAATGGTTATTCTCCTGCCAATTGGCCAAGTTTTTGAAAGTTGGAATTCCATAATGCTGGCAAACATACACGGATGTCTGATTCAGTATTTGCACTCCCTGCTGACAGGGTTGTCTCTATCAGTTTAACCTTTCCGAAAAGTAACTTGGGAAGATGTAGTCTAAGTCTTAAAAAGCTCATACCAAACCACAGCAGCTCAGGAGACTGAGGCAGGAGAATCATGAGTTCAAAACCAGCCTCAGCAACAGTGAAGCACTAAGCAACTCAGTGAGACCCTGTCCCTAAATAAAATACAAAAAAAGGGCTGAGGGTGTGGATCAGGAGTTAAGTGCCCCTGAGTTCACACCAAGGTGCATCTCCTCTCCTCCTCCCAAAAACGCTCATACCCTGGCCAGGTGCAGTGGTGCACACCTATAATCCCAGCTATTCAGGAGGTTGAGGCAGGAGGATTGCAAGTTCAAGACGAATCTGGGCAACTTAGTAAGACCCTATCTCAAAATATAAAAGCAGGGTCGGGGAGAGGCTAGGATGTAGCTCAGTGGTAGAACATTTGTCTAGTATATGCAAGGCCTTGGATTTGAACTACAGCACTATCAAAAAAAAGTTCATACCTTGATGAAGGTTCTGGAACTGGACTGTGGTGATGGTTGCAAATGTACCACTGAATTGTATTTTATATTGGTAGCATTTCAATTGTGTGTGTGTTACAACAATTAAAAAAGAAAACAAGATAGGTGCAACACCAAACCCGTCTGTAATCCTAGCTACTCAAGAGGCTGAGGCAAAAGGATCACAAATTTGAGGTCAGTGTGGGCAACTCAGGGACAGCCTGTCTCAAAATAAAAAAATAAAATAAAAAGGGCTGGGGATGTAACTCAGTGATAAAGCACCCCTGGGTTCAATTCACAGTACCACACACACTAAAGCGGGGGTGGGGGGGGGTTGGGGATGTAGCTGAGTGGTAAAGCCCTTGCCTAGCATGTGCAAGGTACTGGGTTCAATCCCTAACACTGCAACCACCAAACAAAACTCTACCTTAAACCCAGCCATTGCACTTCTGTCAATCTGAGCTGAGTAAATAATCGGGGGGCGGGGGCAGGCCCATCACAGCACTATTTATATCAAGAAGTTGGGAACACCAAATTATACTGTTATATTGTGTGTATGTATGAATATGTAACAAGAAATCCCACCATTATGTACAATTAAAACATACCGATTTAAAAATGTGGGGGGAAAAGAAGTTGGGAATAATATCAATGTCTTAAAACAGGGACATAGTTAGATGCATTACAGTACATTCATATTGTGGAATACTATGTAACTATTTAAGTCATGTCTTCAAATAATTTTAATAACATGGTAAAAAGATCCATAATTTGTTAAATAGAGAAAGCAGGTCATATAGTTTGATTTTTACACTGCAATAGAGATGTACCTACTGACATGTATCAGTAATGGATTACATATACCAGTAATGACATAACAGATTGCATTTATATATATTGGCAATAGTACCAAAAAATTTTCTATAAAGTTGTTCCTGATCCTCCCTAGATAAATCAGGCCCCTCTTCCCTGCCCGGCCCTCTCTGAGGCCTCATGTAATGATGAATAAAAAATAAGCTGACTGGGACAGTCTGGACCACAGGGTTCATGTGTGAATGTGGTTTTGTGAAAACATTAAAAAGAAGAAGAATCAGAGAGTGTTGCCAGCAAGTGGTGTTTATAAAGTTTTTATTTTCCATTTTCTTAAAAATAACATTTGATTTCCTTTATGCATGTGTGGAGTGTACTTGTTCCTTAGGCTGAGTAATAGGCAGATAAAGACAACACGAGGCGTGGGGTCCCCAAGTGGAGGCGGGTGGGGGATCGAGTGTGGGAGGTGGAGTGTGAGGGGGTGGGGGACGCAGGGGAGAGGGAGAAGGTGGGGTGACCGAAGGGACGCTTGAGTGCCCATCAACGCACACACAGGTCTAACACTTTGTTTCTCAATTTTTTTTTAAGACATCTAAAATTACTGAGAGATACGATTTCAGCACTGAAGTCTACGGACGGAAATCCAAGCACTTGAACACAACTCTTAACTCTAAGCTCAGTTATTGCACATCACACAGTTTAACTAGCTGCAGGCTATGAAGCAGTTTGCTCTGCTGGGACTTCCTTAGGATGTCTCTGGTCTCCTTTCCCACCCCCACCGTCTCTTCCCTGGGACCCCCACCCACCCACCCTGCTACCAGCCAGCAGCCCCATGATGACCCTGGATGTCAAAAATCTGCCATTCTCCCCAAGGGCTGCGGGCTCAGGCTTTGGTGAAATGAAGGGTTCCCGAGTCGATACCCATGGACGCCCTCCCCCCAGGGGTAAAGCTGGAAGCAGAAGGAGCTTCCACCGAAGAGGTGGCCAGCCCCCTAACACCAGGTGGGCAGGAGGGAGGAGAGGGGACCACCTGTCATGTGTGTGGTCACTTCCCCAGCAGGACACTAGGGGGCAGCCAAGCTGTCTCTCCCTCTCTCCAGCTCGGCCTCCTTCCTGAGCTTCCCAGACCAACCCCTCCTCCATCACCCTCAGACCCCAGAGTGGTCTCTCAAGGCACATTTATTTTCTCCAAACCTCCCCCCCATCTTACACATCCATCTCTTCCACCATCCACGGGCCCAGGTGGCCCAGGATGGCCAATGGCAGCTCCGGGGCCGGGCAAGACTTGGTTCTGCTGCAATTTGGTTGGGCTCTGGTCCATGCAGCCCTCATTGCCTGGCCTGCCTACGCCAGGGGAGTGCGGGCAGGAAGGGCTGGGAGGGCTGGGGGCAGGCAGCTGGGCCAAGGGCATGAATCCCCCTGGCTGAGGGAAACCAACCTGCAGCCTTGCTCACCAGGAATCCTTAGGCTCCAAGTGACTTCTTGTCACTTGGAGGCCTGCAGCCCCATGGGGAGCAGCTGCTTTTGAGGGGGTGGAAAGCAGTGTGGGAGCTTCAGAGACAGGGAACTGGACCCCTGCAGGCCTGCCAGGGGCTAGTTCAACGCCTTTCGCTTTCTTTCTAAAACATATTTACAAGGTCAGAAAAAACGTGCACAATCGGAAGACCCAGAGACACGGAAAGCACGGCTCCCGCAGGGGAGGGCAGAGTAAGAGGAAGAGTGAGGCCCTTTGCCTGCCCTCCCCACCCCAGAGAGCCCTGGCTTTCCTCATAGCCACCCCAGGACAGTTCCGGGAGTCCAGCTGGGGCAGAGGAAGAGACAGACTCAGATCCTAGCAAGAGCAGGAAGTTTCAAGTAACTCCCAGTCAAAGGAGTAGCCATCTCTGGAGAGCAGAGGGCTGATGTGACTGAGCAGGGGACCAGAGGCAGGTGGCGGGAGCACAGGGCAGGGGTGGTCAGGGCAAGGGGCTTGGGGGGTCTGGAACAGCGCGACACCCCAAAGATCAGAACTGTGCTGCAGAATGAGAAGCGCTTTATGGGGCTAAGTGGAGTTTCGTTATTTCCCCCAAGAGAAGGCTCAGAAGATGTCCGTTCCAGGGTGGAGTAGAGGGGTGGACAGGGCGAGGCTCTTCCACAGAGTCCGACAGACCCTCAGCAGATACAGGGAGACGCTGGGGAGAGCAGGGGGCCCTCCCCACACTCCCAGGCCACCAGGATGGCCCCCAGGTTCACACACACACGCCCACGCACGTACACACACACACACACACATACACACACACTGCACTCTCCATGCACCCAAGGGCGCCAGAGGCCCGGTTTGGGTAAGAGATTCCCTACCAAAGGCATAAGGGATTGGCTTCCACTGGGAGAACTGGGCTACTTAGGAGATACAACAGTGAACACACAAACAAGAAACCACAGGGCGGCTTCTCCTCTGGGTAAGATGGCCTTCCACTTGCTCAGGAGATTCGGGGAACGGTGAGGTATGGCCTGGGGCCTAGCGGCCCCCACTCTGTCCCCGCTGACAGACTTTTTACTATTCTTTCACACTAAGGGCTTCAAAACAGAACTCAGAGGAGCCCCTTCACTAGGGCAGCCCCTGGGGGCCCTCAGGGGGCAGAAGGAACCCCCAGGGGCTGAGAGGAATGGGGCTGGGGGTGGCCAATGAGGCTCAAGGAGAGGAATGATCACGGCCTCAATGGGTGGCAACTTCCAGCCACTTCTTCACAGGGTCCAGGGAAAAGTCTCTCCACTGGTTTGGGCAGGAGGGGAGCATTGAGGTGGGGTCAGGAAGGTGGGCACACACCTCTGCTCTGGGTCTTCAGGCTCCCTGGGATGGACAAGAGGGACCCCAGCATGGGAGACGGAGGTGAAAGCAGCATCCCTGCCAGACTGTGCCAGCGGGGAGCCAGGTAGGGCTGGATGGCATGGCCTCAGCCACAGTCTCCAGGCCAGCAAGCACCCAGCCACAGCCGCGTGCGGCCCACGGGGCGCCAGCTGGGCTGTTCTGGGGTCTGGCATCCAGCTGCTCCTCTCCTCTCTGAGGCCCTGCCCAGGACATGTGCCTGCAGATCCTCAGCTGACCGCCCACTCCTGTCCCTCCTCACCCCTCCCCGTGCCTCACCCTCTCTGCCCCAGCTCCTCCTCAGTCCCCTTTGGTCACTCTGGCTTGGGTTAGGGGAGTTTCTCCAGTGCTTGAGAACTCAGCAGAGGGACAGGGCTTGCTGTGGCCAGTGTCCTGGCCCATCATCTGAGGCCCGTTTCACATCAAATCTGCCCAGCGCTGGGAGGACCTCCAGCCCACAGAAAGCAGCCTGCCCTCCCTCCCCTTAGGCCCAGAAGTGGGAGGGAGAAGGGTAGGCAGGGGCAGGAGGGGGCAGGGCTGGCTGAGCAGGGTGGGAACCCCAGAGTGTTGGGTGGGGCCGGGGGTGGGGACAGGGACGGGCATTTCAGTCCATTGATTTTGGTGTGTGGTTGTGTATGTGTGAGTGTATTTTAAAACCAACGACAAATGGAAAGAAAACTACAGGGCGGCTGAAGGGACCTTTGGGGTCAAGGACATGTTGGTCAGCGCATGCCACACGCACGCACACACGCATTCACCCGTCCCAGCCACACATGCCTCACACGTATCATGCACTCACACTTCGAGGCCTCCCCACTCGAGCCAGGGTCCTTCCAACTGGTTTCTGGATCCACTCGCTAAGCTGCCCACTGCTGTCCAGGTCCCCGCTGGCCCGTCTCCCTGGCCGTCGGCACCCTGGCCCGCCACGGCTCCCAAGGGCCATCTACCAGATGTAGCCTCCGTCGTCCGCCTCGCCCGCCTCGCCCTCCTCCTCCTCGGCCTCCTCGCCTGCTTCTTCCGTCTCCTTCTCCTCCTCGTCCTCCCAGCCGACACCACTCCCAAAGTCCCCTGAGAAACCCACGATGTCATCTGTGAAAGCACAAGCCAAGCTGGATCAGGACCCCGCTGGCCGCCCCTCTGCCCGCTCAGCCCTCCCAGCACAGGTCCTCAGCAGCCCAGCGGCGGCGCGGCCCTTACCGCAGTCGGGGCTCCCGTGCGTGCGGGTGCCGGTCAGCTCTAGCCCCAGCTGGTCCACACACCAGCAGTCGCCGTTGTTCTGGTCACACTGCATCTTCCGGTAGTAGCCGTCCTCGTCACAGCTCGGGATGAAGATGCCTGAGTGGGACAGGACCCCCAGAGTCAGAGCAGGGATCCAAGGCTACCGCTCTTCCCTCGGAGCCTTAAGCATGAGCAGGGCCCCGACTGCCCCACAGCCTGGCCAGCACAGCACTGCCCACTCAGCAAACCCAGGTGTCCAAGGCTAGTTTCTCCCAGCTCCACTGAGAGAAAACCCACTTCAGGCAGGAGCAATGGTGCACACCTGTAATCCCAGCAGCTCAGGAGGCTGAGGCAGGAGGATCATGGGCTCAAAGCCCGCCTCAGGAACTTAGTGAGGCCCTAAGCAACTCAGTGAGACTCTGTCTCTAAATAAAGTATAAAAAGGGCTGGGGATGTGGCTCAGTGGTTAAGGGTTCAACGTCCAGTACCAAAAAAAAAAAGAAAACCCACTTCCCTAAGTGACCTGCTGGGGCCTCTGTGATGGCTCTTTGGCCCATGTCTTCCAGGATGGCCAGTTTGCTCTCATTATGCCCCGTGTCCTGGATCCCCCCGCCTGGCTGTCCCTGATCAGGAAAGCCTGGGCTTCTCCCAGCCCTTCCCAAGGGGACCTGCCTTCAGGGCCCACACACTGCATTTCTGTCCATTTTCCAGACCTGTTTTGAGATGACTCTGTCCGCTTGGTTGGGGGAAAAGACACGGGGTAATACCAGGTACCTTGGGGTGGGTGCCCCAGGGCCCAGGGAGTCTGCTCGGGAATAGGGGAGAAAGGATTGCTTCCGGCAGACCCGAGCCCACCCCAGCCCCTGAAGGCCCCGGGCTTCCAGCCACTGTAGCATCTAGGGGTGCTTCCAGGTAGGATGCTAAGTATGCTGGTCTCCTCAGCCAGTCACATGTCCAAGCTGCTCTCAAGGAGCCACAAGGCTCCGTGTGACTTGCCTCTTGAACCTCTATCCCTTTGACTATCAAATTCCAGTCACATGGGTCCTTTTTTTTCTGTTTTCCACGAATCCCCAGCTCAGTCCCGTCCTCGACTCTGCACTTGTCTGGCTCATTCTCCTCCCTCAGCTCTCCCTGTAACCCCAGCTCCCCAGAGAGGCCCCTGCTGACCCCTCAGGCTAACTCACGTCCCCCTGCGCCCTCCCTCAGCAGTGTGCACAGGTCAGTCAGCACCTCTGTCCTTCTGTGGGATTTTGTGTGTTAGACTGTACCAAGGCCTTACGGGCCAGGGACCTCGTCTGCCCAACAGTTCTGACTGAAGCTGGGTGTCTTGCTCTCTCCCCAGGTGTGTGTGCAGAATGTGAGCACGCAAATCCCCCTCTCCACGGCCCCCATCAAGCTTTACACACACATTTGCTGAAGTGATCAGAATGGAGGATTCTAGGATCCTTCTGTCTCTCAACCTCCAGCCCCAGCACGGGTAGCCGTAAAATGATGCTGAAACACACTTACCAAGGGGCAGAAGGGGAGGCCCTGGCCCACCATGTAAACAGAAACAGGAAGGTGTCTCCCTCTGTGTCCTGGGCCAGAGCCTCGTCCAGGCTCAGCTCCCACCAGAAGGCGGGCCGGCAGTGGGGGATGGGGGGGTGCTGCAGTCTCCAAACCTCAGGGGAATCCAGAGCAGCCTCCCTGCCCCTCCTCTGCGTCCCCTGCCCGACCCTCACCTGGTTTCTTCTTGGCAGCCTCCTGGATCTGGATACGCTCCAGTTCCGCCAGGCAGGGGGGCTCTGTGAGGGAGAAGCAGCCTCTAAGGGGTTGTCCCATTGTGCTGACGGGACACAATGAGCCTCCCAAGGCCTAGAGACTCCAGCAGGGGCTGTGCAAGATGAAAGGCAGGCTCAGACATGGGGCCACCCCAGGGTGGAGGGGGGGTGCCCTGAGACCTTGATGGTTCCACAATCAGGACAGGGGCTCTGAGGATGAGAACACCCAGTCTCTAATTAGAGGAGGCCACCCCAGCTATGGGAGGGCTGCGAACCCCAAGAAGTCTAGGGTTCTCTGAGGGTGTTGGTATCCATGGGATAAGTCAAAAGGATTCAAAAGAGAAGGTGGGGTGATCCTGCCGACACCCTGTGGGGAGACCCCCCCAGGAAAACCTAAGACTGGAGGAATGTGAGAAAGAACCTGCAGGCCCGAGAGTAACTGGTGGTCAACCTCTGCCTTTGGGACCTGGGAACGTCACCAGCTCTCCAAGCTGCCTGAGGGTCAATGAAAACAGTGCCAGCCTCCTTCCTGGGAGGCTCCCAGAGAGCGACCGGGCCACACTCACTCTCCCTCCAGAAGCAGAAGCACCACTCGGCAGTGGACACCCGGCCGTCCTTGTAGGTGTCGCAGGAATTGAAGAAAGGGCGGATGCAGACCTCGTACTTGTCCAGGTTGATAGCAGCCAGCTCGGTCTGGTCCAGGAAGAGGTCAGCACTGGTGTCCAACTTGGAGAACATCCAGCCAATAGAGTCCTTGCAACTGGCCCCCAGGCTTTTGTCCAGCCCTGGAGAGAAGACGATTCAGACGCGCCCAGGGCACCTGCCCGTCCAGCCGCCTCTTCCTCAGCCCTGGCCTTCAGTTCAGGGTCAGGGCAGCCCAGAGTCTAACCATGCGGTTGAGAAACTCAAGAGTGGCCAAAGGTCCTACCTCTATTGCTGCACAGGTCTGTACCTAAGCCACTCAAAATCCTGTTGTAAAAACACTTGAAAAAAATTTTTATTCAAAGAATTTTCTTTGAACTCAGGGCCCAGCACATGCAAGGCAAGTGCTCTCCCACTGGGCTACATCCCTCACGCCTAGAAAAAAATAATGTTTTTGCTTCCCTTGGCTGCCCACCCATGTTCACAGTCCTTCCTATTAGCTAGCTATTCGCTTCCTGCTGTAGTTGAAGCTGACCTCCCCTTCTATGGGGGTTAAGTTTTGGGGGGAGCCACATTGAAGGGCTGAGGGTTAGGCAAGAAGGAGTCAGGGTGGGCTGGCCCTGTGCACACCATCTCCTCAATCCCTCCCTTTCCTCCCCCCCCCCCACCCCGGCAGGGCCACCAGCTCCTGTACCGGTGGCCGGGCTGGCTGCTCCACTGGCCGAGCCGTTCTGCTTGGAGTTCTCATGAAGGAGCTGGAACCAGTCCCGCAGCCGATCCCCCAGGTCAGCCAGGTCCTGACCCGTGCAGGTCTCTGTAGGTGGCAGAAGAGAAAAGGGTGCAGGGGGTGGGGGTGGGTGGGGTCAGCAGGCTTGATCTCCACTTGGGATCCTGCCCCATCGTAGGCCAGGAGGCCGGGCAAGACCAGGATGGGGAAGGGGAGGTGGAAATGAGGAGCCTCCTGTCCCAGCCTCACCACAGCCACCCCCCCACTCTCCTTCCTAGCAATAAGAGTAAGGTGCAGGCTCCCTGTGCTGAGTCCCCCTCCACCCACCTTCGCACTCCCAGGGGAGAGGCGTGAGGGCTGAGGCCCAGGCCTTCTGCTTTGTCCACCTGGGCCGTTGACCCGCCCCCCAGGTCCTCCAGGCTTTTCCTTATTTTTGTCTCTTCTCTTTCTCATTTTGCAACCCGGCCGGCCGCCCACCCCAGCCTGGCCGCAGCCCTGACCTCTGGTTACCTGGCTTGCCTTCAGTGGTGGAGGCGGCAGCCTGCTCCGTGGGGCAGGGACAGGGGCCCTCGCATCTCACGGCCAGCTGCTTGCTGCTCAGGCAGGCCTGCTGCTCCAGCTTACACTGCACGAGAAAGGGCCGGCTGGGTCATGGGGCTCCCCCAGAGGTCCCCGCAGCTGGGCAGCCTCGGGCCTCCTACCACAGTGGCCACAGCTGCTCCCCCTGGAAGGCCCTCCGTGTCCCTCTGCAGACCGTGGCAGAGACGGCAAGCCCAGGAAGGGTGCCAGAGGGAACAGCCCAGCTGTGGGAAGCTGCCAGGAAGCCCGCCTGCCCCCTCTGAGGCTCTGCCCTTCCCTGGGCCCACCTCCCTATCCAACACTCACCCCTCGCCCCTCTTGGCTGCCTAGTGCCCACCCGTGCTCTCGTGCCCAGCCTCCTCCTTGTCACAGTCCCTGGGCCCCAGGGATGGGCCCTCCATCGTCATGCTCTTCACACAGCCACCCCTCAGCCCTCCTGGTTACAAACAGCCGCCATCTCTTGACATCTACCCATCCCCCAGCCTCCAGCGGGGGTCTGGGAGAGGCTCCTCCGTTCTTTGCCAGTAAAGTCTCTTTCCCTGGCTGCACTGGTTTCTCCCCATGGGGTGACCACCACTGTGAAGTGGGCCTGTGTAGCATTTCACAACTTTATCTCCCTCAGTCCCTTCAGCCCTGCCAGGAAGGATCAGATTTCTCCTGCTCAGCAAGAAACATCAAGGCACCGGGAGGCTCAGTGACATGCCCAGGGCCATGGGGCTGGGAGGGAAGCCAGACCTACTCAAGACCTCTGCCTCCCTACTGGACAGGTTGACCCTGGACCACAGCCTGCTCTGCCCTCTGACATGGGACGTGAGCTCTCTTCCTTTTCTTCTTCCTCCTCCTCCTCCTCCATCTCTCTGTCCCCTTTGGAGCTCTCTGGCCTCCTGCTCATTCTCTGTCCCCCCTCCCACCCCCCCTGAGGCACCGCCTCTCTTCAAGGAACCTCGATCTTCACCACAGCTGGTGACTCTTAAATCTGCATCTCACTGCACAAAGGGCTCCCCAGGCCCAGAACCCAAGCCTAGCCAATAGTACGCTTGCCCAGAGCTCAGCAATCCCAGCTTCCTGTTGCTAGTGGAAGCGTCCATCGTTAGCGCCCGTATTTCCTTGGTTCTCTGAAGTTTATACAATGCTTTCAAAATATCATCTCATTTAGTCCTCACAAACATCCCATAAGGTGTTTCTCCAGTTACAGTTCTTCCCCTCAGTGTCTTCTCATGGAGGAGTACTTCCTGCTGCCCAGAGGGCTCCCTGCTGCTGGGAACCCATGGCCTCTGTATGGAAATGGCCCCCTCTTCACCCCTGCACCTGGTCAGCAGAGCAACTTCCTCTGGGGGACTTCTGGGAGGCCCTTCCTCACTCCACTTGCAGTTACCTGCCCATGTGTCTCTTCCAGGCCCCTCCCACTCCTGCATCTGTCCAAGGTTGAGGACAGGCTCTGGCTCCAACCCTCAGGTCACCCCAGCCAGGGCTGCAAAGGTCACTCCTGTTCCCTGCAAGATGGCTGCCCTGGATGCACTAGCTAAACCGTCAGGCCCCCATCAGCCCTGGGAACCCCTTGGGAGGCCCCAGCTGGTTGTCCCCTTGGCTCTCGGTGGCTTCAGGTGCACCCCACCCCCACCGACTTGGGTGCAGGACTTCTCACCACTGAGCTGTAAGTGTGGCCATCGGAGCCACAGACAGAGGCGAGCTGGGCCATGTGGCAGGGCTGGCAGATGGAGTCTTTGTTTCCATGGAGTTTCAAAGTAGGCTGCTTGATCCTGCAGGAGAAGGTGGAAGGATACGGGAAAGAGGAGAAAATTTATGGGAAAGGGTCAGAGAAAGTTCAGGAGAACAACGTCAACAAGAGGCCACCTCCCTACCCTGCCACCCTCTGCTATCACCCCCAGCCAGGCTCTCCTCAAGCTCATGAGGGTGGGCCCTGGTGGGTGGGCCATGGATCGCAGCTTGCTCTTTCCCAGGGGTTCCTGAGCGGGGGCTTCAGGGAGCAAGGCTAGGGCTGACTGGCTGCAAGAGGTGGAGGGAGTTTCATCTCATGTGAGGGTCAGACCAGATCAGAGGTGGCAGCCCCACAGCTCATCCTGTCTGGCCTCCAGGGTGATGGCGGTTGCTTATCACTGAGTTATTCACCAACATTTGCAAAATGGGAGAGTTCACATAAAACCCTGGATTCCTGGCCTTTCTGAGACACGAGGGACATGTGGCAGACCCTGTCCTGCGATCCCATGTAGCTGGAATAGATCAGCTGGAATAGCAGCTGCCCGCTTCCCACTGGGCCGGGCCTGCCAGAGAGGCCCCTCACCAACCCTCTCCATGCCAGGCCCCTCGGGCATCTAAGATCACAACCCCCAAGTCTTGTCTTCCATGACCCAGGAGGGAGGTGAGGGAAATGGGACCTTTTCCAGGGGTCTGGAGTTAGGCAGGGTCTGGTCCTTGGACTGGAGCTAAGGCTCTTCAAATGTCCCTCCCCTCTTCCTCCAGCTTAAGCCTCACAAGCTACAACCTTAACTATTTCATGAAGCCCTGCATGGCAGAGCGGGAAGGAACGTCATTATCTGGTCTAACCTATTTGTCTTAGAGACAGGGATACCCCAGCCCAGAGAGGCGCTATGACTTTCCCCAGGTCCCACAGCATTTAGTAACTATTCTCCCAAGGTATGGCTTCCTCTTGCTGTCTCTCTCACATGACTCACTTCATGGAAAGCCAGCCGCCATGTTGTGGGGAGACTCAACTATCCAGGGGGTAGGGTCAGGTGAGGAACTCAGGCCTCTGACCCACAACCATAGAGGCACTTGGAAGTGGATCCTCCAGTGCCCTCCAGCATTGTGACTGTAACCTGTGACAGACCCTGAGCCAGAACCATCTCGGGATTCCTGACACTCAGAAACTGTGAGAGAGAGCGCGTGTTGATCGTTTTTGTTTTGCGGCAACAGACAGCTGATACACAAGGAGTGGTCACCTGAGCAAGTGTCTCGAGGGCTCCCCTCCTGCCCCTCACCTGTGCTCCAGCTTCTTGCGACTGATGCACATGGCCCTCTGGTAGCCCTGGGCGATGCACACCTTGTGGCGACTGCACTTGACCTTCTGGCAGGGGTCCTTGGTGGTGTCCAGGGCTGCAGGGACACAAGGTCGGGACACTGATCACCTAGGAGTACTCAGGAGCCCCCAGCCCTACTTCTGAGCTAGGAGGCCCCTCCCTTCTGCAGCCTTTCATAACCAGAGCTCCTGAGTGCCAAAGTCCCACCCTGGCTGGTCAGGAAGCCCCCCAGGCCAAGATCAGGACTTGCCCTCAGGTCCCACATCTTCTCAAAATGTCAGTCCCCAAATGAAGGACGGGCATGTTACCTTCATCTCCTTGCTGGTTGTCCTCCCAGCTCTTGATGTAGTCGTCCTAGAGGACAGAGGGCAGGGAGGCGAGGAGGGCTAAGGTTCCCATCCAGAGCTGAGCTCAGTGACCACCGCACTCACAGGCCCGGGCATCCACATGCAGATTGCAGCCATCATGGTGGTCCCAGATGACCCTGTCCACCCAGGCCCTCCCAGCTGCCTCCCCTATGCCTCTGTCCCCCCAAACCCACATCCAAGCTCCTTTTCAGCCTCTCCCGTAAGAGTCTCACTCTCCCAGCCCAGACTGGATGTTGGCAGAGGAGCCGTTGGGGGAGGGTAGCCAGGGGAATGAAGTGTGGAGAGGCCACACGCCGGGGCCCAGGCAGGACTCACCTCCACCTCCTGCAGCCAGGACACCGCAGCAGGCCACAGAGATGAGCAGGGGGAGAAAGAGAGACAGATGGGGACTTCAGTGTGAGGCCTACCCTGAGGCCACAAGGTCCCAGGGTACCCGTGGCCTTGTGTGCCCCTGGGTGCTGGGCAATGTCCTTGGACAGCTATCGTCTCTGATCCCTAGGGACTCCACCTGGGAGTCAGTTTTCCTACATCACCACCATGGACAACTGTGGGCTCACCCTAGGAGCAGAAGGGTGAGGCCCATGGATTTGAGAAGGTGACAACTGACTCCAAGTCCAGCCCAGGTACCACTACCAGTAGAGACGTCTGAAGAGTCCACACTGCCCTGGGGCAGTGACTCTCATGTCTGTGCCCTGGTGGCCCAGAAAGGGCACACTCTTCTGCTAGGGTCTCTTCCTTAGAAGGTCCCCTGCTGACACCTGCCTACCCTGTGAGTGGGGTGGGAAGAACCCGCCCTCCCCCCACCCCCACCCCGGGTGCAAGGGACTCTTTCTCACTCAAGGTCCCTTCCTTCTCCGATGGCCTCAGGCGGCACACTGAACCAAGGGGGTGGCCACGCCAGTGACAACAGCTTCCCTATTTATCATGGCCCCACTTCAAGTCAGAGGAACCTGAATAGCCCATCTGAGGTCACCTCATCAGCCCACTTTGTGTGCAGGAGAGACCAGAAAATGACCTGACACCTGCCCGGGGCTGGTCATGTGTGTACTCGGGCTGGTGGGAAGGCCAGGGAGCTGGCATGCCTCCTCATCCTGAGTCCCACCCTATCCCCGTCAGAGATGTGCAGTGGAGGGGACAGAGGCCATACTGCAGGGTTGGGGTGGGTAGGGACCAGACACTGAGCTGTCACACCCGAGAGGAGCCGGCATGGGCTCTGACACCAGAGGGAACCTGGGAGCAGTGACGGGGAATGCCCACGGGGGTTTTGGAAGCCCAAGGTGCTTCCCAAGCACCCCTGGAAGCCAGCGAGCATCAGGATGGGCAGGAGTGAGGGCGTCTGGCGCAAAGGTCAGCGCGGCCAGAGCCCATCGGCAATTGTCCCCACCCAGGTAGCTGCATTGGGTACAGTTGTGCCCCTGAGTGTGTGTTTCTGAGAATGTGTGTGCGTTCACGTGGGCCCAGGTACACACCTGCACGTCCACGGGCATGTGTCATGTGTGCACAGGCGTGTGTATTTACACGTCTTCATTTGCGTGAACATGCGCAGAAGCCACAAGTACACAGCACGTGAGAAGGGCACTGAGGCGGCCCGCCCAGTGCCAGATGGTTTCCATCCAGAAATGAACTTCTGTGAGCAGCCTCCAGTTTTCACACTTGGGAGCCCAGCCCTCCCTCGGGCTCAGCCTTCCTGCCTCTTCCACAGTAAGGGGAGGGCAGTGGGGGAGGGGAGGGCCCGGGAGCCACTGAGTGACCTCTCCCTGAGGGTCCACGCGCTCTCTGTGTTTCTCCCTCTCTCTCTCTCCTCTGACTCACCTTTGCCTTCCCCCTGCCCCTTCACTTTGCCCGCCCCTGGCCCCCTCAACGTGACCAAGCAGCAAGTGTCCTGTGGCCCTCGGGCCCAGAAGCAGGCAGGAGGAAGACCCAGGAGGGGCTTCCTGGGCACCCCTGTGGGCTCAATTGCCAGGGCTTGCGCTGAGCCCCGAGAAGCCCCTGGCAAACTTCCACGGCAGTAGGCACAATGTCCCCCATTCGCTCAGGTCACAGAGAGCCAGTTCAGGTCCAGCCTTTCTTGTCCAGGAGCAGCACAGGGTGAAGGGGTCCTCTTCATCTGGTGCCCACCCCACTACAGACTGGAAACAGAGGCCCTCCGTGGCCAACTGGCTGAGGCCGGAGTTTATGAGAATGGGAAGTCAAGGATTGCAAGCCAGGCACAGTGCATCACAGCTGTCTGTGATCGCAGCTGCGTGGGAGGCTGAGGCAGGAGGGCATCCGTCGGAGGCCAGCCTCAGCAACTTAGAGAGATCGCGTCTCAAAATAAAAGGGCTGGGGAAGTATCTCAGAGATCGATGGCTTATGGGTCCAATCCCCAATGTTGGGGGAAAAAAATAACAAGAAGGGGTAAAAGTTGGGGTCCCTTCTATTTGCTCCCATCCTTCTATGGGAAGGAGGAGGGGATGAGGTTATAAAGAAGACAGGGAAAATGGCTGGGCCTGGGAGGCAGGTGTGTTGGCTCCCTTCAACCACCAAGGTGTGTGCCCCTAAGTCACCTGCCCCAGATCTAAAGGAGGGGACGGGCCTTTGGCTCCTCCAGTGCCTGGGGCCCAGCTGAGGGCCTTGGAGTCTGCCAGCGTAGCCTTGCCGCCTTCAACCCCAGTCAGGGCACGGCCAGAATCTGAGACTTAGTTCAAAGTGGGTTCTCAAAGGTCAAGACCAAGGATTTCTGATTAGAAATTCAGGGGACAGCGAGGCTGGAATAGGACCTCTAAGACACCAGCAGCTCTGCCAGGAGCGGTGACATACACCCATAATCCCTGCAACTCGTGGGGCGGAGGCAGGAGGATGGAAGGTTTGGGATCAGCCTGCGCAAGGCAGCAAAACCCTGAACCCAAATAAAAGGGGCTGGGAATGCAGTTTGGTGGTAGAGCACCTCTGGGTTCAATCCTCAGTGCTGAGAAAGAGACAGGAAGAGGTGAGGACAGGAAGGGGGAGAGAAGGGAGAGACAGGGAGTAGGGGAAAGGGAGAGAAAGGAAAGAGAGAAGGAGGGAAGGAGGGACCCAGCAGACCACCATGCCTCCAGCAGCCAGCCAGGACTCCCCCTGGTCCAGCTTGCGGGTGGCCTCTTGCACACAGCCCTGTCCTCAGGTCCAGCTAAGCCCTTTGCTCCACTGAGGCAGGGGGCCTGGAGGGAGGCCGGGAGTTCTGAATCCCAGGACCCTCACTCCCAGGGCACTGGAAGCGGCCGGTCGGAGGGCTGAGGAGAGGAGGCTCTGGGTCCCGGCTGCCCCTTGCCACCTGAGACTAAAGCAGATGGTGCCTGGGTCCAGGAAGCACCCACAAATCAAAGTGCTATGACAGCAACAGAGACCACAGATCCAGGTGGGGAAAAGAGAAGAAAGATGAGGGACCCCTGAAAAGTGGGGAAAGAGAGGCCACCAAGGGAGAGCAGAGACCAGAGGGAGTCACTCCCTGCAGAGGTCCTGCGGGGAGGGGTGATGAGGACGTCCTGTGGGCCACACGGGAGTGGCCAATCTGGGGCAAAGCCAAGGGACACTCTGAGGGCCCCCTGAGGTCAGGTGGGGCCGGCTCTTTCTATAAGCTGAGAAAGAGGTGTTTGTTGGCAAGTGTGAATGGTGCCTTTTGGTGCAGCAGTGTCTATTTATGGCACCCAAATGGGCTCATTAGCAGTTGTGAGAAATGGTTCAATAAAGCTGAGTGCACAGAGGTGCCGCCTCTAGTCTCAGCCCCTCGGGAGGCTGAGCAGAAGGATCACAAGTTCAAGGCCAGCCTGGGTCATTTAGTGAACCCTGTCTCAAAATAAAAAGGACTGGGCATGTAGCTCCGTGGAAGAGCACCCTGGATGGAGCTCACAGTACTACAAAAAGAGAAAAGAAAGAAAGGAAAAAAGAAAAGAAATGGTCTAATGAGGGCCCCAGGTCTTCTCAGGGGCAGGAGGCTGAGCACTTCTCTAGCTCTGCTGCCCATCTGTCCTCACCTGACAGAAAAGGATTTGAAAGAATCCCTCCACAGTCCTCTGGGGAAAGGGTCAGACCAGAGGGGAAATGGACCAAGATCCATCCGGGGAGCCTGCCCATTTTACCGGTGAGCACAGCCACCTAGGACCACAGAGCAGACAGGTGGAAGAAACTTCTGGAATGTATAAGTGCATGCTGGTTTTTATCAAATGGTGCTTTTAAAGTAATTCCTCTCCAAGCATTTTGCATCACTATCATAAAAAATCAGAAACAGAGGCACAGAGAGGCAAAGAAACCAGTCAGGGGTCACAAGAGAGGTGAAGTGCCAAGCTGAGCTAGGTCTCCCCATCCCCATGCCACCTGTGTGTACTAGGAGCAGCGTCGCACACTGAGGGCATGGTGTAGAGGGCTGTGCACCAGAGTCTGCTCCATCCTGATCTGTTGACCTGGGCAGGCCACTTCCCCACACAGGCTTAGTTTCCTCCCCTGGACCAGGTGGGCCTTAGGAAAAACTGTCCCTTAGAATCATAGAAGGAGCTTTTTCAACTTTCCAGTGTCCAAGGGCCACCTGAGACCCTGGATGGTCACGGGTGGACTGGCTCTGATCAAGCTTCCATGCTTGTTCCAAGTAGGCAGAGTAAGGACCCTCCCTGGCCAGTGCCCAAGTCCACCCCTGGCCCCCACCAGCTAGGCATCTTGCGCCTGATACTTTGCCTGTGTGCTCTGGCTTCTTCACCTCTAAGGGGGTCTCAGGGATGAAAAGAGCAGCCCAGCGGTTCTTCCTTCCAATGGTGCCTCTCACGGAACAAATACTGAATCCCTGGAATCCAGTCTCCTGATTCCAATCAGGTCTCTTCCTTTGTAGCAAGTCACAGCACCCTCTCCAAGCTGAACAATGCCCAGCCCTTTCCTCCCAAGGCCCCCCCACTGCTCCTAGCTCTCTGCTACCTCTCTACAGCCCTGGCCCACCAGACGGCAGCACTTGTGTTACTGCAGCGCCCCCTTCTGGCCTCAATTGGATGGGCGCATGCTACGTCCACACCACTGCAGCCCCACTACAGAGGTGATTCTAGAATGCAATTCTGATCATGTGTCCCCTTCACTGAACAGACAGTTTGTTCTCATTTGGGAGGGAGGGGAGAACGAAATGGGTAGGTGAAGAAGACTAGGGGCTGCGGCTGTAGCTCAGTGGCAGAGCGCCTTTCTCTCATGCATGAGGCACTGGGTTCAATCCTCAGCACCACATAAAAAATAAATGAAGATAATTGTTACTTTGTATACAACCAGAGATATGAAAAAGTGTGCTCTATATATGTAGTATAAATTGTAATGCATTCTGCTGTCATATATAA